GATTCTAGGTCATTTTTTCAATAAAAAATATTTATTTATATTAAAAACCTTCAAAACTCAAAAATAATAAACATCTCACTATTATTTAGAAAAAAAAGAGAAGAAGAACAAAGAAAAAGTATTGTATATATATATATTAAATAAAATATATTTTTATTATTTAATATATAGTATCAAATCAGGCTTGGGCTCGGGTTGGGCTTTTTTAAGAGAGTCCGAGCCTGACCCAAATAAAGTCGGGCCTGATGCTTTAGGCCCGAGCCCAAGCCTGCGGGCCTAAAATTATAACTTAGCCCGACTTAATAATAGGCCAGGCCAGGCCAGGCCAGCCCATTGGGCTACCCGGCCCATGAACAGGTCTAATGAGAACTAAGATGTCAAGGGCCAACCTCCCTAAAGTTGAACAATCAAAGGCTTTGCCTCTCTGTCTCAATGGTAAGTATAGTTTTCAAGGCACCGAGGGCGCGCTAGGCAAGGGGGAATCTTGTTATTTGCTATTTAGTCCAGCACAAACTCTTGAAATGAATATTTTAGTTAATTAATAATATTTATTTATAAATTATTATAATATAAAAAAAATGAGGAGTATAGAAGTTTTTCTATTATGGCATGTACAAAATAAGTAGGCAATTAAATGAGACAACCATTCATGAGCACCTTGTGGCCTAGGTGTCAACGTATATGAATTGCACATACGTGATGACTTTTAAGGCCTGTGTTATGAAAACTATGGCAGTGCAAATGGTTTGATTGTAAACACCGACCTATTTTTGTTTCAAATGTTAGCTTATTTTGTTTGATTGCATTAAAAATAAAGTAAATTAATATATGAAGTAGAATAAAGTAAAATCCAAAACAAAATTAAATGGGAATTTTTGGACAGTCAAATCGGAAAAATCGAAAATTAGTCAGGTGATCGATTCCGTTTTCCCCCAAAATTGTTGATTTTGGTCAACGAACCATTGAACCGGACAGTTAAACCGTTCGAACTGTTTTAACCATTTTTTATTTTTATTTTTTTTTTGAATTTTTATTTTTTTTATTTTCTTGTTAGAACATGCCAAGCATTCGGTTCGAACGATTGGACCATTTGATCCAATAACCGAATCACTGGGTCAGTTTTAAAAACCATGTTGACAGATATAACTTGAAACAGCCAAACCACATTATCACATTTGCTTAAGGTGAGTGGAGTACTGTTGGGGCAAATATGAAAAAGATACATTTCTTGTATATGAGGAGCACACAAATAAAGATATTCTCGATGTACGACAGGATGTATGTGACCAGCACTGTATCATGGTCAGCGTGAGTACCAATTCTGTGAGGAGAAAATCTGAATTCAGAAAAGATTGATCTTGAAAAAAAAAGATAGAACACAACTAATTGTCTCTTGGATGTATATTGCACCAAAAACAAACAAATAATTTGTTATTTAGCCTTACCGGCCGGCAATATATAATTGGCCATTTGTAGTGGTGGCGGATTTTTTTTAATGGCTATTAGGACGATCTCTCTGTTAATTTGAATACTCTTTTTATTTGGGTAGGCCAACTGCCACTTTATTTGAATACTCTAATTGCTAAATACCTGTAGCATTGTAAAAAATGTTTATGTCGTACCCACAAATAAGGAAACTTTTTTTTTTAGAAAATATATAAAATTTGATTCTCTCTCTCTCTCTCAATGCTGTCAAGGAGAAGTATCATCAGGAGATGTTTTCAATATACGGTGGGGATATGCCGTAGGACGTTGTGGGGAGCTGATTCAGTCTCTCCCATGAATGAAAGAATATATTTTTTTATTGCTTTTATAAAAAAATAAATGAAAAAGAATAATTTATTATTTGGAGCACGATTTTTGCGCTCTCTCTCTCTCTCTCCATTAGGTCAACAAGAAGGAGAATATGAAAAAAGGAAAGCACCAAGGCACCTTCTCTCTTTCCCTTTTTTAATCTCTCTCCTCTGTAATGAAAAGTTGGTCATTTTTCATTTTATTAAGGATATTATAAAAAAGTGTAAGCACTATTACAACCACAAATTTATTTTGGTCGAAAACCACAAACTCAAAACTAGTAAAAACTGTAACTGTACAACACCCACAAAAAGGAGTTTTGATATATTTATTTTCGGTAGGTAGTAATTTTGATATGCTGCGGGCAAGGTTCAAAATATTGATACATATCAGCTTGTATCATCCAATACATATTGTATTGGCAAGTGGTTCAGGGGGTAAATCGATCTTAAATCAATCCTTTTGAACCAGATTCAAAAAAATTAAAAACAAAAAAAGAGTACCGATACAGGGTGATATGCCATCGATACTTTGAACCTTAACCATAGGGTTACAAACAGATAAAATCAGTTTGATATAGGTAGATCTAAATTTGATTCATTTATATTTGAATTTGAATTGGATCTTATTGATTGGATTCAATTAAAATTTAGATTAAGAGTCCAATTAGGGTGCATTTCAAAAATTTGATGCACATTAAACTAAAAATTCAATTAATCACATTAAAAATGACTTGCATATGGTCTATTTGTGTTTCATAATATGTACCTACCATTAACGATTCAACTGTGATGTATTATTTTATCGCTGTTCTAGTTTTTGGCTTCATAGTGCGGTTCACGCATCATAAATTTTGCCAAAATGGTCAAAATCTTATATAATTTTAATAAAATGACTTTAGTCTTATATTCTATGAACAAAAGAAAAAATTTTATATATGACTCCTACACCTACATACAAAAATTTAGTAAAAACATAACATTCAATTCGGCTTTATTAATAAATACAATATAAATTTTAACTATATATTTAAATTGAGTTGAATCGAATCAAAGAGGGATGAATCCATATTCAATTCAATTATAAACGGATCAGATGCAAATTCAAATTCAGGTAATTGGATACTGTTTGCAACCCTATTTAAATACATGCATGAAAGTCTCAAATTCGAATAAATTCATATACCTATAATTTTTGTTTAGGGAAATTTATGATTTATTCACCATTTCACTTTTCTGAATGCATTGTCCCAAACCCCACTTATGCTACAATACCCCTTAATTATTTTCATGACTGATGCCAACTCTAAAAACCAAATGTTTTCACTTTCGGCATGACATGAGTGAGAGTAGGAATGGCAATGGGGCGGGTTTGAGGTAAGGATTACATTCTCCATCACTGATCGAGGAAATGAATTCTCTTCCATCCCCAACCCTAACCCCGACAAGGATTCATCCCCACCAGAGACCCGAATCCCCGATTACACAAAGAGTTTAGGAAGTAGAGAGAGAGAGAATTGTTGCGAGTTGCGATCGGCGACGATAGACGTCCGACGTCCGATGGGCAGCTACGGTGACAATAGATGAAAGAAGAACTAGGGTTTTAGTTTCAATTGCCACCTCTGTTCAATAGACTATAGTCTATTCAGTTCTTTCTTCTTTGAGTCTTTCTCTGTCCTCTATCAAGTGGTAGTCAAGAGACTAGTCTTGAGAGTTTTTGTCTTTTAATCTTTAATCTTTTTTGAGTTTTTATAATTTGTATAGTGTTTAATTAATTATTAATTGAAATTACTATAATGTTATTTATTAATCAAATAAATGAATAATATAAATATTATATAATATTATACATATATATGTATATATATATTAATCGGGGACGAACAAGGTGGGGATTGCATTCCCCATCCCCATCCCCGAATCCGGTCGGGGACTCAGTGATAGCCCCATCCCCAACCCCAACCCTGCCAAAGTACTTCCCATACCCAACCCTGTCGGGTTAGGGAGCCCAGGTATCCATCCGGGACAAGGAAAATTGTCACATCTATGGCTATGTTTGGTTTGAAGGAAAAAGTAGAGAAATGAAGAAAAACCTTTAGAAAACTTGTATAGATTTTCCTATCTTTTTCTTCCTTTCCTTACCTTTTCCTTCAAACCAAACATAACCTTCAGAGAAAGGGTGTATGTGACTGGCAATGAATGATTTTTTCTTCAATTTCCCCACTAACTATAAATTAAGTTTGTTGGCTTTACACTTATAGATGGCATGAGAACTTTTCTAATATGACCCAGTTCTAGTGTGAAAGGTTTACCAAAACAAAACAGTTATAGTGTGAAAGAAAATTGGATAGTCGCTAATCACGAGTACAGATTCAGTACTCACATAACCGTCCTTATACCCTGCTCACAAATTTTTGAAGTCGTTCCTCGGAAACATCTCTGTATTTATATGTTATTTGTTGTTGGAGAGATATTCCCAATACACAGCCGCAAGTGGCTGTGAGTGTGGTGTGAAGACGATTCTGTGAGTACTAAATCCGAATTTGCTAGTCACTATCAAAGTCAGAGATATATAGTTCTTGGTTCCTAGCTCCTACGCATTAGTATTTAACTATTTGAGTTAAAAACTGTCAGACGGTGTCAGTTTGGAGTTTGCTACGTGTACCTAATCATATTCTGCCACGTAATTAGAACTTTTAACATTTGCAACGTGGCAGAATATGGCTTCAATTACCGAGAAGATGCACCGAGTCTAGATAGCTACACATTACCTACGTAGTACGTGTATCTGCAAAAATTTTTAGGTCCTGAGTCTAAGGAGTGGGAGCCACACTTAACTAGAAGGGGAAACTAAAACTGATCACAGTCTTCCGCGTGGTCTTTAGCAGTTTTAGCCCCATCGAAACTAGACGCGTCTGAAACGAAGAGAGACACTCCGATCATCAATCGTAAAAAAGTCAATAATCAACCCAACTCATTCACGTTCAGATGATGATCCAACAGTAATTCTTACTTCCTACAAACAACTCGTATCGTAGCTACCCTGCCTAGCCTACCCAATTTACATTCTCCCTTGGAAGAGACTAAATCTGGAATTTGGGTTGATCGATCGCTCTTCAGTCAAGGTTGACGGGGAAATTCGACAGTCTGGCTGGCATCACATCTCATCAGTCGGCTAATTGCCCACTAACACACGCCATTTATGAGAAAATCGTTCTCCGCTTCGTCACTTTCCCCGTTGTTGTTCTTGGTTAATGGCCGTTCTCAGGAAAACCACCACCAGCAGCCGCACCGCCACCACCACCGACGTCGCCAATGTACCACTTTTCCTTGTCATTTTCTCCTGCTTCTGTGCTGCCGCTGCTCTAGCGTCAGATACCCTCATACAGAACCAGCTGCTCAGGGACTGGGAGCAATTGGTGTCCGCAAATGGAGTTTTCAGGTTGGGCTTCTTCACCCCGGGCAATTCCAAGAATCGTTACTTCGGTATTTCCTACGCCAAAGCAACTAATCTCACCGTCGTCTGGGTTGCTAACCGAGACACTCCCATCACCGATTCCTCCGGAGCTCTTACCATTGACAACAATGGCACCTTGAAAATCTTGTACAGTGGAGTGAGTCCCATCGTGTTAAGTTCCAACCAATCGACGACCAGGGGTAGTAATCTCACAGCTATGTTACTGGACTCCGGCAACCTTGTGCTCAGAGAAGTTGATTCTGATGGAACTGCGGAGCGTGTTTTGTGGCAGAGTTTTGATTACCCAACAGACACGCTCTTGCCCGGGATGAAGCTGGGTTTCAACTCCAAGACCGGCCATAACTGGTCTCTTACTTCTTGGTTGAGCACAGGCGACCCGTCTGGAGGGGCTTACTCTCTGGGCGGGGACCCCACCCGTACGACCCAGTTGATGGGCTGGCGTCGAGGGGATATTTACTGGAAAACTGGGATCTGGAGTAACCAAAGTTTCGAGAGCGTCCCTGAGTTGACATCAGACAATGTCAGATACAATTTCAGCTACATTTCGAATGAGAACGAGACATACTTCACGTATTCTCTTGTGAACAGCTATTCTCCTCCTTCATTGTGGGTTCTGAATTGGCTGGGAGGTTTCAATCAATTTAAGTTTTATGAATTAGAAGACAAGTATCTCAGTTTAAGCATTCAGTGTCCACCCCATTTCTCCTCCGCCTCCCCTGCGTCCTCCTCCGATGAGGATAGACTGATGGGGTGTGTGAACCAGACGGTGGTGGAGTGCAGGAGCGGCGACCAGTTCGACCGGAGGAGGGGGTTTGTGAGTGGTTCTCCCTACAGGGCCGTGGAAAATACGAGTCTGGGACTCGTTGACTGCGATCAAATGTGCTGGAGCAATTGTTCCTGTATAGCCTATAACACATTGTATGACAACGCGACGGGATGCCGGTTTTGGAACAGAGACTCCGGTTTCCGGGAAGATAACAATTACCCCGGCGATGTCTACATCCTTCGTTCCTTCTTCAATCAAATTACGGCAACAACCAATGGAAATGGTGAGTACCTTTTTTTTTTATGATTTGTTTATCTGTTTATGCTTTATCATTTTCTGTATTTGATTGATAGTTGGTGCTATAAGTTCGGTACAGTCTGTCCAATCACAGAGAGCATCATCTATGTTTGACTTGAATATTCAAACCAAACACTAGACTTGATCATTTGCTCATAGAATAAAGTTTCTAAAGCACATGCCCAATAAAATAAAAAATAAAAGGTCGAACATGGATCATTGATAGGGACCAATTGGTTCTTGGTAATGTGTTGCGTAGGGATAACAAATGAGATAAATAAATGATTCAAGATTTCTGTTGCAGGGAAGAAGAAATGGTGGATATGGATCACCATTGGAGTAGTAGCCGGCTCTGTAATTCCTTTCTTAGTCTTCTTGTGGTGTTGTTTTAGGAGGAGAATTTTCAAGTCAGACGGTAATCTCTCATAGTTAATATAAAACACTGAAAGCAATTTTCTCTCATAAGATTTCATCATTTGAATGAATGAAATTTCTCTGTCTGTCCAGCAGAAGAAAAAGAAAAAAGCCAAGAGATGTTACTACTTGAGTTAGGAACTAATTTATCACCTTCCCAAAAATTGCGAAACTCAAGTTATCTGGAAAATGATGGGACAAAGGATCATGAGTTGAACCTCTTCAGTCTGGCTAGTATTAGAGTTGCCACGGATTATTTCTCTTTAGAAAACAAGCTTGGGCAGGGTGGATTTGGACCTGTTTACAAGGTAAACATACAATTGGGTATTTAGGTTTTCTTTTTCTTCATATTTACTACATGAAACTTCTTTCTTTATGTGCTTTAGACATGACAATTAAGGACTCTTAACTGCTTCAGGGCAAATTACCAGAGGGAGAAGAGATTGCAGTGAAGAGGCTTTCAAGAAAGTCAGGACAAGGAGCAGAGGAATTCAAAAATGAGCTCTTACTTATTGCCAAACTCCAGCATATGAACCTTGTTAGGCTTCTGGGTTGCTGCATTGAAGGGGAAGAAAAGATGTTAATCTATGAGTACATGCCCAACAAAAGCTTGGACTCCTTTGTCTTTGGTACTTTCTGCTTCATCTGTTTTTACTTGGTATCCAATGCTTCTGGGTTTTATTTATTCATTCATCAGTCTTTTCTTTGATTGTTTATATATCCAAATTTTCACTTTGAGACAGATCCTACTAAAAGGCAACTCTTAGATTGGAAGAAACGTTTCAACATCATTGAAGGGATTGCTCAGGGGCTCCTTTACCTTCACAAATATTCTAGACTCAGAGTAATACACAGAGATCTAAAAGCAAGTAACATTTTATTGGATGATGAGTTGAACCCTAAAATATCAGATTTTGGAATGGCTAGAATCTTTGGGCAAAATGAATCTGAAGCAAACACCAACAGAGTTGTTGGGACATAGTAAGTGAAGAACCCTGCAACTTAATTTGCATCTAAGCCATTCCTCTTCCCTCTGAATATTATAAACTTAACTCTAACGTTTGGTTGCAGTGGATACATGTCACCAGAGTACGCCATGGAGGGAATTTTCTCAGTTAAATCTGATGTCTATAGCTTTGGGGTCTTACTATTGGAGATTGTGAGTGGTAGGAAGAACAGTGTTTGCTATGAGTTCGACCCCCCACTCACTCTTCTTGGATATGTAAGTTTTCAAGATAAAACTGATGAACTTTTAATTGTAAACCAAATCGAAGCTTTTAAAACTTTCACCCAGATTAAGCTGATGAGTCTGTCTAATGAAATTTTGGAATTGTTTCAGGCCTGGCAGCTGTGGAAAGAAGGTGAGGGCCAAAAGATAATAGATCCAGTGTTGGGTTGCTCATATCCCAAAGATGAAGCACTCAGATGCATTCATGTGGGTCTGTTGTGTGTACAAGAAATTGCAATTGATAGACCCACAATGGCAGATGTTGTTAGCATGCTTAGCAATGAAATCATACAGCCACCTGATCCTAAGCAACCCGCACGTTTAAGTGGTAGATCAAGTATAATAGATAGAGATTCAGAAAGAGGCAGATCGGATTGTTGTTCTGCTAATGAACTTTCTATTTCTGTGATGGAAGGCCGATAGAGATATTTGCTCATTGAAGAAGCTTGACACCATGATCTCATTTTTTATGACTAGAATGTATTTTTACAGTAATACATATACAGAGCATGTATATTTGTACAGAAGCGAATTGATGACTCTAGCCTGTGCTTATTTTGGTATATATAGGTTCTGTTTGGTATCATTCCTGCAATGTTTTGAGTTGAAACAGCGTTAATACTTGATCCTATTTGGTGAGAAACTTCCGTTTTTCATCCATATGAGCACCACATTGATCAGGGTGTTGGTAGCAAAAGTAAATAAATAAAAATTCTTGTTTTGAAATCCCACTCTCAGATTTCCATATCCCCTGTTTCGTAGCAAAAGCAAAAGTAAACAGCTGTTCTCCTCTCGAGCTCCTCTCTCTCTCTCTCTCTCTCTCTCTCTCCTCAACAACCACCCCTGTCTCAATTACGAGAGTGCCGCTGCAACTATGAATTGTCGCCGGTTTTGCTACTTGCCAAGTTGTTCTTCCTCCACGTTGACCATGCGAGATTTCTCTTTGAGACTACAACTGCTGTGGAGACGTTTTTCCCATTCCTGGACGTGTCCTCTCCCAACAAGAGCTAGAAAACCTTTCCTTCATCATTTCGACTTCTAGAAGCAGAATCCCACCAGTTAAAAGACCATGTTCAGAATTCATGAGGAAGAATTTTACCACAAAATGCATAAGTTAGTATACAGAATTACAAATGAATCACCACTCAAAGTAGAGAAGGCAGTGGTTTCTGTGATCGATCTATCTTATTGACCCCCCAAGGAGAGGAGGGGATGATAGCCTGGTTCATAAAGATCACCAGTGTTCCAGAAGCTGTCTATCTCAAACGTTAAAGCTTCTTTTATCCAACCCTTAGGCTATGCTTAGTTTGAAGGGAAAGGTAGGGAAATCTATACAAGGAAAAGGTCATCGGTGATAGAAATTGAGGAGACCTTTACAAATCTTGTATAGATTTCTTTTCCTTTCCCTGCCTTTTTCCTTCAAACCAAACATGGTAGTAGCTTGGGAGAGAGAGGAGACCTTCCCTCTGAAAATCAATTTGGAGGGCAAAATGGATATTTGACTTTTTTCGTCCATATTTAATGGTTCTTGGAAGATTTAGACAGTTGTCTGAAACAATAGTACACTTAATCAATTAGTTAAATTATACGAATAATTTAAGAAATTTACCCATAAATATATTTATAATGACAATTGTGTGTCGTAGTCAGCTTTTTCAAATTTTAATATATCATATCACCGGAGTGATTATAGATTATTCAATTTTTGCCGATTATACTTATTTGCTTAAGTGGTGCACATGACACATCAGCAAAAATGGAACGGTCGTGAAGTGGTGCACATGATAACATCAGCAGAAATGGAACGGTCCTGAAACGTAGCTTATTTTGGTGTGTCTACAATCCAAATAAATTACTGAATTAGAATGAGAAGATTTTGGATATAAAGTAAGCTGTAATAGAATTCCGAAAAGACCAACAGTTGAAATTCAAGCTACCTGTTAAAATAAAAAGTGCAATGGTTGGTCCCCCTTTCTTTGAAACCGTTTCCCTCCAAAGAGACTCTTTTTCTCCTCTCCTAGTCCTGCCTCGTTCCAAACAAATTCATCTCACCACCATTCTATCCAATCAGAAGATATGATTCCAGTGATACAATGAAAATGAAACAGCGCAAATAGAAGACAACTTCCGAGTCCGAACCCATTCTATCCCTTTTCAAAGGCTTAGCGAGGAACAACAGCCGGAGACAGAGCCAGAGCCAGAGCCAGAGGGGAGAAGGGGAGGGTAATTTCTCTAACCTCCCATTAAATTTTTGACACAGACCCCTTTAGAATAACAAAAGCCATAAGATATCCAAAATATCTATGCAATTACTATTGAGGCTCGTTTCTCCAGAAAAAAAAAAAAAAAAAAAAACAATACAAATTTTATAAACAGTTTTCCCTCGTATTGAGATGAGGGGCAAATTTGAAAAATAAATCAATTTTAAAAAAGAGATTGAAGGATTTGCAACTATGGCTCAGTTTGGATTTGAAAGGAGTACAAATGCAAATATGTGCACTTTAAGGGAGGTTTTACTTTTAACAATGACCAGAAACTTTAGGGAGGGAAAGAAAAGGCTACAAAATTTAATTTAGCAGAATTCCTTGATAATTTTATCTCAACTTTCTATTTATCTCTTATATATATATATATATATATATATATATTCTATCAAACTAAATAGGAGATAGGATTAATGGCTGTTCAGCAGGTTGTGAAACCATTAATAAGGCTCCAAACCAGTCATAAAATACATAAAACCCACAATCATTCCACCCCTCACTGTGTATAATATGTGTTCATATTCTTATTATATAAAACAGAAAGCAAGAAATAAAAAATCCAGGCCACGCACACACACCAGAGATGATCATTTGAAGACGAAAACAGAAAGCTTGACATGATCATTTGAAGGCGAGACATGCCCTGCATTAGTCAACCAATCTGCAGAAAATTTTGTTTCTCTGAAAACATGCGAGTATTGGACTTTAAGACACCTGCTACTGCATATGCTGTAGTTTTCTTCGGTTAGACTAGATTTGAATCTCCCTCAATGACAATGTTCTGTTCTTGGAAACCTAAAGCTAAAGAATGAGCTTCGACCGCTGATAAATCCGCACCCCTAATCAGAAGCAAAACCCACATTGTAGATTCTAAAAACAAACAAAATATATATATATATATCAATTGAGAGAGATCTAGAGAGAGAGAGAGAGTTCAAAGAAACCTATCCAGCAATATAATTAATTCCTACAGGATTTACCTATAAATTTTCAGAAGACCATCCAAAACCAGCTTTCCAGTAGTGATTGATTTTGGAAATGTGTTTAACTTTTGTACGATCTGGGGCTTCACCACGCAGCCGTTTTACAAGTTCCGTGGATACATCCTCCAAGGTTAGTTCCTTCAATTTGGTAAGGTGTTGAATACCATGAGGGATCATCTTTAACCTCTTAGAACCACTCAGCCATAGATCTTCAACATTTGGCATTGCTCCTTGCTCAATATCTACTTGATTTAGTAGTGGCAAATTCCATAGTCTCAGTATCTTCAGGTTAGGGAACGACCCTTTTATGAACCGCAACCGTGATCCATCATATGCATTGAAGAGAGTAAGGTGCTGAAGTTTGGACAGTGCTTGAATGGATGGTATAGGATCGTCTCTCAGCCGGGACCATTTCAAAAACAAGAAGGTCAGAGATTCAAGCGAACGAAACCATTTAGGAATCCCGCCTAGTTTGCCAACCAAAGTGACTCTGGAGAGATGAAGAGGAGGTTGCTCTAGGGTGTCCATCTTAAGTGATACATTCTCATCAGTAGCCATCACAAATAGGCGATGGAGTTGTTTCATCTTCTGAATTGAGTTACACAGCTCTATCCCTGCATCTGCTCTGATCTTAGTTACCTCAAACCTTTTGAGTTGGGTCAATTCGCCAAGTTTTCTTATCATGTCAACTTCTGCTGCTTCAATGGATGCTAAGACCTGAAGGCTCTTTAACCTGACTATGTCCGATGGAGCCCATGTGCCACTTAAATGATCAAAAGTAGCATAGTTTTTAAGATTGTAATGATACATGATTAGATGGCGCAAATTCTTCAAATTCACAATGTCACCTGGAAGAACCTTCACCTCTGTATCGCTAATGTCTAGAGTCAGCAGGTTTATAAGATGTCCAAAGGGGTATGGAAGCTCTGTAATGAGAGTCTTTCTTAAATTCAAGCATTGCAAATTGAATAGGCTAGTTACTTCATTTGGAACTGTCTTGATAGGAACCCCCTGAAGATCTAAAACTCTTAGCAGCCGAAATTTAGGCAAAAGGGTGTTCAGTAGAGACTGATGAGAAATGGCTCCATCATCAGCAGTAGCAGAAAATACAAGCAAGGAGCGAAGCTGAGACATCTGGGAGCCTGATTGGATATGATCATTGACTTTGTGCACTGCTAACCGTCTTGGTCTGCCATCATTGTTATTGTCTAGAACTAAAAAGTTATGCTCTTTCGAAATGGAGAGACCTACCTCACGCATAACATCGTGCATTCTACATTCTTTTGGCCTGCCATTGTTGTTCTTCCTTACCACTTGAAGCATGTTTCGATTAATTAGATCTGTAAGGTAACTATCTGCAACCTTCTCCAAAGTTTTGTTTTCCCTCTTTTCTACAAACCCTTCTGCTATCCATAGCCTAATGAGTCTCTTCCGTCGAATCACATAGTCTTCAGGAAACAAACAGCAATACAGGAAACAATGCTTGAGGTAGTAAGGCAAATCACTGAAACTTAGAGACAAGATGCTTTTCACGGGCTCTAGCAAAGGATTGTTGCTGAGCTCGCTGTTGAGGCTCTCAATGACTTCACTCCACTCCTGCTCCATCACGCCTTTAGAATGCATAAGACTGCCCATAGCTATGATAGCCAGTGGCAGTCCATTACATTTTTCAGCCAGAGCTCGAGCTGTTTGTTCCAGTTGTTCTGGGCAACCCTTATCTGCTGAGAATGCTTTTCTGCAGAAGAGGTCCCAAGCTGCTTCTTTTGGGAGGTGTTCAAGGTAGTAAATATGTTTTCTACGTTCAAAAGAAAAGTTAGCGATATTCTCTTTTCGAGTTGTAAGCAAGACCCTACTTCTATGTTTATTACGTGGTAGTGCACTGCTTATTTTCAGCCATAGATTATCATTGATATCCCATATATCATCTAAAACAATCACATACCTCTGTTTCTCCAAGTGGTTGCGAAGTGTCTTCACCAGATGAGAGTAATCCATTGATTTTGTTGTCTCAACTAGCTGACAATAATTCGTTGTGATCAAATCATCTAGACCCATTTTCTTATTCACCATGAACTCTTTTATCATGCTTCTGAGTAGATTCTCGACATTAGAAGCTGCTTGCGATACAGTGACCCAAGCGTAGCATGAGAAAGATTTCTTCTCAATTTCAGCGTTGTAGACTTTTGTAACGAGGGTAGTCTTTCCTGAACCACCCATTCCCACCACCGAAATTACAGTGCATTCTGGTTCCTCATCCAACAACCATTTTGTTAGAATCTTTTCATGCTTCTCAAATCCTAGCACACTGTCACCCTCAATAAAAGGAAATGGCCCTAGCTGGTGTTGCGACCTCCTGGAAGAACTAGTATGACTCTCTTCTGTGCTGTTGCAATCATAACGTTTTCTTCTTTCTGGAATTTCTTTGATCTTCTTGTTGATTTCTTGTAACCTTTTAGCCATTTCATGCTTCACCCAGGTATTCTTTGGGAGTTTTGCAGTTTGAACAATGGCGTTCTTGAATTTGCTGCGTTTGCGTTGGCTGTTCATTAGATACCTGAACTCATCAATGATGTCTTCCACATCGTAAACCATATCTCTCACTTGCTTCACCCGAGTCTTTACCACTTCACCAGTCAACTTCATTCTTTCCGCATCCTTCAGGAAAGATATCATGCTCTCTAACTCACGCTTAATTTCATTGAACTCGGAGCGCACTCCTATTATGGATGACCCCTCCTTCTCAACCAAGGATAGTATGTTTCCTACCAAAGCTTGCACAAGACCATCGGCCATGGCTTCTCGCTCTCACTATCTTGGATCTGCAGGTAAAACGTAACCTCTTTGCTCCTTTGATTTCAATTACCCTTTCTGATCATTTCTCATTGCTCTCACTATCAGCAGCCAGCCCTTAAACTAAAATCTTTGAAGATTCGTCTGCATTAATGCTTCTAGGGAATAGTTTGGTCAATACAAATGTTAATGCACTCTCAAAGGGGCGGGCAAAGGAGGGCATTTAATTTTTGTCTTCCACAGCCGAATATGCTAAAAAGTAAAAACTCAATGCAACGGAGCTAGCAGAATTAATTTTCTGCATGTAAGTTTCACATCCCTGTCCCACTTTAGAAGAGAAAAGAAGGTTGCTCAGGCTGTATTTCGTTTGGGAGAAAAGGTAGGGAATAGTGGGAAAACCTATTCAAGAACTGTGAAGATTTCCCTATCTTTCCCTTCCTTAGTCCTTACCCTATATTTTCTTTCAACCAAACACAACCTAGATTAAATTAAATGAGTCAACGATAAAAAACAAAGCATCTCTTTCTAATTGCTGGCATCTCTAGAGGCATTTAATGTGATAATACAAACTCATGAAGCTTGACATATATATTGGACCCATCTGCATTGGACATTTGGACCTTGACTTTGTTTAACATTATTGGCCTACAGTTTCTGTCAAGGGAAATAAATGAAATTAATAATCTGACCAAATTCCAACAAACGAGTGTAACGGTTGTTGTTTTTCTTAAGAACTTCATTATCTAAGCCATATTCCGACCAAATTACAAATGATCATCACTCGCTAGTCGCCATATAGATGGAAAATTCATATAACGACATTATTTGATCCACAAATCCAAACAAATGGATGAAGAGGAGCTCAAGTTGTTAGGAAAACACAAAATTTGAACCAGAGGTTCAGAAGGAATGAACAAATCCAAAACAAATGAATCAAGAGGGGCTCAATTTGTAAAAAAACACGAATGAAATTAAAGATTAAATGTCACTCTCCGACGAGAGGAGGTATATTGGGTTTAAAAAATCCAGAATGAATTGATTGAATAGTGGAGATAAATACAAATTTTTTTTCAATCTACCACCAAGATATAGAAATAACATTTTTAAAATTAGAGACCAAAATAATAATTGGGTCACAAACCCAACTAAATGGGTGATCATGGGTCAGCCCGATCTTAGCACCTATGTCATCTAATTATAAAAGTTTAGTTATTTAGAAAAGTTTAATCAAACTAATGTTAGATGAAAAAAAATATTACACAAGCCTAATTTAGACTGGGTTTGGTTAGGCTTTGAGCTTATAGCAGAAAAAATAAGGCATAGGCCTCATTTAACTCCTTTACTTGAATTAGCTTGGCTTGACCATCTTTGATGAGTTCGCATCACCGCCCCACCGCGCTGAACGGTGGGGCGTTCCTGCGTGCGACGCTAAATGGATGGACGTTAAAAGGGTTTTAGTCTGCGATTCTGCGAGTTTTTCCTCCATTTCCACTGGATACCCACTGAGACTCTCCATCGCCTGGACATCCACTCTCCTCCCCTAAATCGTTAAAATCAAAAACCGCATTCTCAATGACAAGGCTAGCGCTGTAAAGCGTCCCTCTACAGAGAGGGTGTTAAAGAAGCAATCGGTGAGCCGGTCGGTGGCTCACCGAATTAGCAAGCGGTGGCCCACCGAACTGAGCCCACCAAATATTAATCGGTGGCACACCTATTAAGTCCACCGTTTGGGTTTTCTTAACAATGAAGACTCTTTCTTCATATTATGCATTATACCCCTCAGTTCAAATATAAGTAGGAGTGAAGTGTTGGGTGTTGGGTACGGGTGTGATTTTAGTGAGGTCATTTTTGTATTTTCTCTTGTTTATAATGAAAAAGAAAGTTCCGAGTTGTTGCCTGTGGACGAAGGCAATTTGGTCGAATCACATTAAATCCGGTGTTCTCTTCTTTTTTTTTATTGCTATCTGCTTTTGTTTCTTTCTGTGCACATACAAATTACGCTATTCGTTGTGCCACTCCAACAATTGGTATTAGAGCTTCACGGTTCTGTTTCGGGATTCTACCAAACTTTGTATTTGTTGCTTCTGTATTGCACATGTTGAATATGGCAAGTTCGAGCTCCACCCGGTTCAATATATTGGAATTCAACGGATCCAAATATGCAATCTAGAAGCTGAAGATGCATGCTGTGTTGGTGAAAGAAGATTGTGCAATTGCCTTAGAAGGAAAAGAGAAGTCTGCTAATATCAAAGAGAAAGGTTTTAAGAAGAAGAACCAGATAGTCACAGTTGATATTCTTCTTGCTTTAAAAGATTCAGTTCTATTCAACATTTCTAAGGAAACCACTGCCAAATATTTATGGGACAAGTTGTGAAATCTCTACGAGGGAAAATCGATTTCCAACAGAATCTTTCTTCAACGACAACTCTACAACCTAAGGATGAAGGGCAGTGCCTCTCTACAAGAACACTTGAATGAGTTTAAACACGACTAAGCAAATTAGTAGTTGTTAAGGTACGTATTGATGGCAAAGAAAAGATTACTCTTTTTGCTTTTTTCTATGCCGGACTCTTGGGATAATTTGATAATGAATTTAAGCAATACTAAAGATCTGTCATTAGAATCTACTATTTCTATGTTGCTTACAGAAAAATCTCGTAGAACAGTTGGTGAGAATTCACCAGGTGATGCAATGATGGTATGAGGTAGATCGAATGAAACAAATAACTCTAACAGAAATCAAATGAGATCCAAGTCAAGAGGCAACAAGAAAAGACTTAAGTGTTGGAATTGCTTTAAGAAGGGTCACCTTCGAAAAGATTATCGACAACCCAGAGTATATCAAAATTGGTGCAACTCTGACAAAGATTCGGTTTTAAATAATTCCCAAGGACACATCGCAGAAGGAAGTGATTCATCAGAAAATGGTGAGGTATTGTCTATTGACTCATGTGAAAACTTAAAACATAACTGGATATTAGATTCGGGTGCTTCTTTTCCTATGACACTATGCAGAGATTGGTTCTACACATATCAATTGTACGATGGTGGGACTGTTTACATGAGCGACAATAGCACATACAAAATAGTGGGAGTTGGAGACATCAGAATTATTATGTTTGACGGTATCACTCGTACAATCTTTGGTGTACGGTATGTTCCTGGACTACGAAAAAGTCTCTTGTCACTAGGAAAGTTTGACGAGGATGATTATAAGTTTTCTGGAGAAAAAGGCTAATTGAAGATCAATAAATGAGCTATGGTAATTGCAAAGGAAAATTACAAGGAAAGTTATGCCACTAGATCAGGGATACCAGGGTCAGCTATGCCATTGTTGCAAATGTTGTGACCGATTCTGTTATGATTTGGCACAGATGTTTAGGTCATATGAGCAAGCAAGGACTTAAGGTACTTTTTTATCAAAATCTACTTCCTGATTTAGAATCTACTGATTTGAATTTCTGTGAAGATTGTTTATTTGGGAAACACCATAGAGCTAGTTTTCCCAAGTTTAAAACTAGAAATAGAGAGGTATTAGATCTAATACACTCTCGTGCATAGGAAGTTACGATGAAATCTTTTGGAGGTTCGTTATACTTTGTCTCTTTTATTGATGATTTCTCTAGGAAAGTACGGATGTATATGCTCTGAAGGAAGAGTGATACCTTTTCATATTTTAAGAAGTTCAAAACTCGATAATGGGAATGAATATACCTCGAAAGAATAGTATTTTTGTATTGAGCACGGCATTTTGAGACAATATACAGTTCCTCGAACTCCACAACAAAACGAAGTTGCTAAATGGATAAACCGTACACTTATGGATCAAGCTAGAAGCATTTTAAGTGCAATTGGGCTGAAGCAGTGCTTTTGGGTAGAAGCAGTCAATACAATATGCTATCTAGTAAATCGCTTCCCCACTATGACACTTGATTACAAAATTCGAAAAGAGGTATGGTCAGGAAACCCTGTTAATTATCCTTTCCTACGTACCTTTGGTTGTGATACTTGTGTTTGGATTCCTAAATAGTAGAGGACCAAGCTAGATGCAAGGTCCAAAAAGTGTATTTTTCTTGGCTATGCAGAAGGTACAAAGGGGTATAAATTGTGGGATCCTACTACCCACAAGATAATTGTTAGTTAAGATGTTGTCTTCAATGAAGATTCGATGCAAAAAGAACCAAGCTCTAAGACAATAGAAAAAGTTGAAATAGAATCTTTTCAAAAGGTTCAAGAGCAACAAATTGATATAACTATTAATGTACCTGAAGAGCACATTGAAAATTCTAAAAGAGTGACTCACGATGATCAAGGTCGATCAAGGAGAGCTACAAGACCTCCTATCTAGTTTCAGGATTATGTAACTACTTATACTTGCATAATAGAAAAGCATGAGCCTTGTTCATACTAAGAAGTATGCAAATGTCCAAGTGCTCATCATTGGCAAGTGGCTATGGAGGAAGAAATGAAAGCTCTGAAGAAAAACAAACATTGAGAGTTATTCAAATTACCTAAGGATCGAAAGGCCATTGGTTGTAAATGGGTGTACAAACTCTAAAAGGACACTAGCGGAAATGTTGAAAAATACAAAGCCCAACTTGTTGTAAAATGATATACTCAGAAATCAAGTATCGACTTCAACAAAAGATTTTCTCATGTTGTTCATTTAAGTACTATTCATATTCTATTGAGTACTATTCATATGACTCAACCTAAAGGCTTTATTGATGACGACAAAAAGGATATGGTTTGTCGACTGACCAAATCGCTTTACGGTCTAAAACAGGCGCTAAGGTGTTGGTATAAGCGGTTTGATTCCTTCATTGTGAGCTTGGGCTTTAGCAAATGTGAAGCAGATCATTGTGCCTACACATTCTTTGGTAATGATCACTTCATCATTTTGCCGTTATATGTTGATGACATGCTAGTTGTAGGCACTGACAAAAAAAGTATCTCAACACCGAAAGCTCGTTTAACTAGAGAGTTCGACATGAAGGATTTTGGGGCAATTAATCAGATTCTTAGGATGACGGTATATAGGGACAAAAAGAACAGGGAAGTTTGGATAACTTAGAAAAGTTATGTTCAAAGGATCTTGCACCGCTTCAACAT